TGAAAATACAAGGAAAAAATTGATAGAACAAATAAGAATAGAAAAATAAAATAAATTAGAGTTGTTTAAATTTTCCGGTTTTAAAACTAATTAACAAGTTTGGAAAATAGTTTTATACACCACTTTTAAAATAATAATTTTACTATCCATAATAACTTATGAGAAAATATATGTTATGCATTAAAACTTATCTAATCTGAAATTACTATGTAAAATATATAAATTTGTTGACTTATATGAAAACAACATAGAACTAGCTAGAAATTATACCAACAATATAATAATATTTGATTGGTTGAAATTAATAGTTTATATAATTAAATGAAAGTACAAAACTCCAATTTAACTAAATTCATAGATATCAAATCAGAATGACAATAAGTACAAAGATCTTATAGAAAATTATTCTTTTGTGAGAGCTATGCATTTATGCCACTTGGAGAAAAAGTTATCTCTCAAAAGTTGAAAGATGATCACTGATCTCGTGATTGCACCAAACTAGTACGTACCATTAGTAAATCAAATGAAATCATTTCATTTCTGCAACGCACATTTTCATATATTCCTAAGTGTCCAGCTACATCGGTATTAGAACAATGTACATTGTACATGTTACTTCAATGAATTTTCTGCAAGTTTGACCCTTACTCTCTCAATTTTTGCTAGGGATATAGTGGCACATCAATCTGTTGCCAAAATTCTCAGTTTCGATAGAATCAATATCAATAGGGGCCAAGTGCACCCCATTACACATTCCATCATTTTCGATCGTTATATCAAATGAACACATTTCAAAAACACCACTTAATTTAACTTTATAACATTGATTTATATAATAAATTTTTTTCTTCTTTATATACATGATTTGGTTATATCTCTGATTCACATAGAATCTCCAACAAAATCAAACAATTTAACAGCAAATTCTTGGTTCTTTTACAAGGGTAGACAAATCTTGAGCAATTAATCAATTTAACCATGTTTAAAAACCTAGTTCCACAAGCTCAATGAACAAAACCAGATCCACCCCATACAAGTATGTATCAATCACACCAAAAGTGCACTCACACTGCAACAACATGATTAAGGTATGATAAAATTGGAGTGCTCAAAATCAAACCAATCTAAAAGAAAAATTATAAATTAATGAAAAATCACGAATTAGTGATTTGGTTTAGTTTTTAAGTTTTCAAAACCAACTAGTTTAACTTGATGTTTGGACTGAAATGTGCAATCGTTCTGAACCAAATCAAATCACATTTATATATAAACTAGTATTTTATTTTATGTAATGTACGGACTAAGTATTTATTATATATAATTAAAATTTATAATAAATTATAAACACAAATAAATATTATATTTAAATATAAATTATATTTAAAATTTGTATAAATAAATAATTTTAAACATATAAATTATATCTTATGATAAATAATTTATATTTAAACACAATATTGTTGTTATTTATTAATAATTTATTATAACATACTAAAATGTGTTTTTCTCTTCAAAATATACATTATAATATTTAAAAGGTATTTTATTAAATGGTAAGTTACTAAACCGAATTTTAAAATGAAACATTATGAATTATTTATAACGTTTGAAAATATATTTTTTATGTGACAAATTATATATATATATATATATATATATATATATATA